TTTTTTTTTTTTTACTTAAGCCGGAGCCTCCTCCACAGCTTCACAGGCACACACACAAGCATGCACACACCCACACACAATCCATGAATGCATACGAAAAAACGTTAAGCTCTTTGCAAAGCTGTGAATTCACTGTGTGTGTGTGTGTGTGTGTGTGTGTGTGTGTGTGTGTGTGTGTGTGTGTGTGTGTGTGTGTGTGTTGATCAAAGGGCTTTCTGCACACACAAGCAGACACACACTGTGCTCAAGCACTAGTCCAAAATCCATGAGACTAGCAGGCCAACAGCTTCGACAGTCCTAAAATCCCAGGGACAGGGACACACGTCTTTTGTGCTCACAGAAACATATGAGCAACATATTCAATGGTCATCTTTGATTGTAGAAATAAAACTGTTGTGATGTGCAGCTCTGCTTCTATTAAGAATTTATACGACAGGTCGAGCTGTTCCCTCTCGTCTCTCTGCTGCGAGTGCAATGCATGATGGTATACCCGTATATTGTTCGGTTAGTGACCATCGGTTGTGCAATACTTTTCATGATGCATTGTGGGAAACTGAGTGAACTAAATAGGGTATAAAAATGTCACTAAACATTCGGACACCACTACAAAATGACAAACTTAGTTTATAGTGCACTATATAGTGATTATTGAGTGATTTTGGACACAGCCACAGTATTGAAAGTGTTTATGTAACAGTTAACACTAGAAGTGAGGACACTGAAGTCAGCGTACGTACATACGTACGCACACGTACACACACGCACACACACACACAGCCTCAAAGACTGAAGTTATAAAAGGCTCTCTGTGATTGTGTTGAAGCCATTATATAGCCATTGGCTATATTCAGTTTTCCCTGTTTGAATACGTGGCTTCTGGCCAATGTCTCTTCTCTGTGGTTATAGATAATGCCTCTGTTTGAAGCTTCAGTTTGCATTATGCACTGATGTTGTATAAATGGGTCTATACAACCAGACACTGATGCTTCCAGTTTAAAAAAAGAAGTTGGTTGCATTGATTAGAGCTCTGTTATGTAAGAGAAAGACTAAATCAGGAATACTTTTCAGAGCCAGCTATGTATTTTGTTACTGGTCAAACTGATGATCAGATAAAACAAAGTAATATTAAAGTATCATTAGAATAACGACTTTCTTCTTTAACACCGTTTTTTAAATTCTATTTTGGCAAATGTATTTTGCTCAAAGTATTACAAAATACACAACATACTAATAGCTATTAGGGTTGTGCAGATAGCTTATCTAATTTATGATCAGAGCGATCATAGATAGACAAATGTTTACATTTATGTATTATATTATGATTACTATTCATTGTATTAACATCAGATTAAAATTGAAATTTTGGCCCACAAGTTTCTCATGTGCATCCTTCCCAAGTGACTCATCTCAGACATACACTCAGACAGTCACAGAACATAGACGTTTTAAAATTGCTTGATTTTATTTATTCCCTGGCTGTAAAAAAAACTTTTGGTCCTAATTTTAAGAAAATGGACAGAGAGTGGGAGAGAGTGAGGTGGGGTTTTCCACAACATGCCTCCACTGCTCCCACAGAGAGACTAATATTGTTTAGGGTAAAAATAATTATTAAAACTAATAACTAACACCTACCTTGTTGGAGTGTTGTGCAAATGCAAAAAGCGCTGTTCTTTTATTACTTAACACATTCACATACTTCACATACAGAAACTGTAGTTGGTATCAAACAACAATTTATATTTTGTATGATTATTCTGGAGGCAAAGTATTTCAATGAAAGTGAAAGTCAACTGATCTAAATTAATCTCATTACATTGATAATGGGGGGTTCAATAGATTCCATATGAAATTATAGACCTTCTATATGTAACAGATAAAATACTGATGGCAATGCAGCTCTAATCAGCTTGGACAGCACTGGACCAAGATGTTGGGATGCTTTAGGCAGGCTGTCACTCGAGGTGCTGAGAGGGGACTGAAGGCGAGGCACGGTGGAGATTAACAAGAAGCCTTAATGTAAGATGTCCATGCTGCACTAGAAAGAGTGCAGCTGCTGCAGCACAGCACAAATAGTGACCATTCGGCTGATAGCTTATTTTGAGGGAATATGGTCTCCTGAGACTTAAGATACACGTAAGAGACTTCATCAGCATCCAGGACAGAAACAGTGGGAAAAAAAGATTACATAAGAGATTAAACTGGTGTCTTCTCCTTATCGAACAAATATTCCGCCTATACAGTCCACATGCAGCGAGATGGATAATCTATACAACATTCTAATGTGCATGATACTTGTGTGATCTGTTCTTAGTGAGGTAAGAAACATTTCATTTGCAGTCTTACCTTCTCCAGCTGTCATGGTGCAAAGCTTCCCTCACAACTGAAGAGGAATGAGGCTACACAGCTGAAAGCTCAGCGCTCCCTCTCTCTCTCTAGTGTCCTATATCTCTCACCCACTGTTTACTTCTTGGTGTTGCTACAGAAATGGCGGCTTTGTTTTGCTCTGTAACCCTGCTTCCCTCCCCCTCTCTGCTCTCTACCCCTACCTCTAACTCTTTTACCCCCTTACCCTGCTCTTTGAAACAACCTCCCTTTTCCTCCATCACTCTCTGAAGTAGATCTGTACATGCATTTCAAGCGTAGGGATGAGAAATGAGAATTTTGCAGAGGTAGTATGTGTTTTTTTTCCTCATATTACATGGATATAGGTGTCCACATACATTTGGCCAAACAGTGCAAGGCTCAGCCATCACTCATGACCTTCCCCTGGAAACATTTCCTCAACCTCGCCTGTGACACAGTTTGAAGTGACATATCACATCACAAAACAGCCAGACTTACAAAACATGCTACCGAGAATAAATTCTCATCGTTTTAATTTTTTCTCAACGTTGAAATATTTTTAGGGCTGCAGTACATAATCCCTTTTTCTTTGCCAGTGCTCTGGTTAGACTGGAGCCGTTAGCACAAGTGTCTAAGTAAGCTGAAGGGCTGTATGTGTGACAGCGCAGCTCGTTGCCTGTCCACATTAACACCCCACATTCTTCTCAGCTCCGAGGCAAAAGGATTTAAAATGAGCCATCATCTGCAGACACAAACCCAATTTCAGTGCAGCCGTGAAAGAGCGACGTCAAGCCAAGCAGCTAATCGTGCTGGATATGATGCTCGACCATCTAATAACTGCTACAGTTAGTCATGTTTTCTTTCCTCATTCTTTCTGCAACTGTGTACGGGACAAAATCAAAACAAGCAGAGATGAATGGGAGGGACTTCTTGGGAAAAAAGGCCTCTGCCATATTGTAATTTCTTCAATGGTAAAGACTTCAATGGTCAGTATCTTAAAAATAATTAGAATTTAATGAAAGATAGGAGTTCATTTGTTCAAATATCATTGACTGGATTCTTTTTTTGTCTTTCCTCTGAATATATACGTTTCCTCTGATTTAGTGATAAATTAATTATTGATAACTATGGGACTGCTTTAAAGCTATAGGGTTGGCGAATCCTGAAAAAGGTAGAAAAGATCAGCGTACACATTGAAAAATGCAACTGATATATCAAACCCCTCAGCCCTCTCTTATACGTCCCCAAAACACAGCCTGACAACTGCTGGAAGCCAACAGTTCCATTACTCTGTCACTAACTTCTGGCTTTCGTCTCAGTGGTTCATGTCTCTCCGACTCTTCTCATGTGCAGTGATAGCACAGGTACTCAGTTAGTGACATGAAATTATCATACCATATAACATGTCAAATCCATGGAGTGTTCCTGTCATGCTGACAAAAAGAGGAAATGTACTCTCAGATCTAAATATGTTACAAAAATACACTGCAGATAAAAAATATCTTGCAATGTTAAAGAAAGTGCTAAAAATAATTCCTGGATTCAAACCTAAATTTAATGGCTTCTTTCTTGGTCCATCTCCCATCATTATGACAAATTTCATGGAAATCAGTTCAGTAGTTTTTGTGTAATCCTGCTGACAATCAGACAGTCCAACCAACAAACAAACCAATGGACAGGGGAGAAAACATAAACCCCTTGGCAGAGGTAACTATCAGCTCATCCAGCTGCTATGTCACACAGTGCTCCTCACTGCTGTGTGTGAATGGCACAATTAATTAAATTGTCTGGAGTGGTAGATAGGAGGTGATGTTGCAGACAGCTTTGAAATGCTGAGCCCTGTCGACTGTTCTCTCAGCTCAGCTGTTCTGTGTGTAAATGAATAGAGTCAGCAGTAAGGGTGGACAAATACAGGAGCAGATATCTGCCTTTCCAATATATCTTCTTTATTTTGTTCTCTCTGTTTTCATCAATGTTTACAGTTTTGACAGATGCCTTTCAAAATCTGTTTCGGTCTTTGGCTCCACAGATGGACATCAGAAAGCTCCAATGGATGGCACCGCCTGTAGTAAATACTTCTACACTAGGTCCCATCTGGCCTGCAAACCCTCCTTCTTATGCACATACATGCACGGACGTACACATGCACACACACACCAATTTACTCACTCACTCAAGATGGAAAATACAATCTGGAGCTGACACAAGTGAGAGTTTGACAGAAAGACAAAGGGTGATACAGGTAAAAGTCAGCAACAGTTTGGTGAAACTAAAGAAGTCTTCAAGTTCACTCATCATAAAAAAGTCCTGCCATAACAGATAAATCGAGATCTGCACCACAGGACAACAACTATGTTTCCTACTGTGCTCCTCAATCCAGTATTAGAGAGAAGGACAACAACAGAAACAATGACGTGATGACAGGATAACTACTGTGCAGGGAATTTAAATGCAATGCAATTTTTTCCACATTTTGGCTAAAGTCCATTTCTGCGTGAGATTAATACATGTCCAATTTTAAATTGTGGATATATTTTGTTCTGGATGGACACCAAAAGCTCACTGAGGCATACGATTACCGAGAAAAAAGCAAGGACGATAGTCAGAAGCAAAGAGAAGCCAGAACAGCAAGCTGACACACAGAGGGAGTTACTCACCTGAGCCAGAAGAGGAAATCATGTTCCCGGATCTTTGGACTTCATCAAATTTGCTGAAGATTACATTCAACCTATAAAAGCAGAAAGAGAGAAGATGTAATAAAAAGGGAAAAAAGGGACAAGAATACAATGAGCAGTAGAAGAACCTGCACTATCTGTCACTTCAGAGGTGGGACGGTCTGTCTCTGCTCTGCGCAGCAGGGGTGGCTGGGACCAAAATAGACAGCAGCCAAAACTGCCAGATAGATGACTAACTGGCACTGGGGCCAGAGAGGGAGGGGAGAGGGATGGTGAAATGAAGGGACATATGGTCCCAGAGTAATTACTCCACATTTGGTAGAGTATTCTATAAAAAAAAAACGGTTTTCCAAATCGAAGCTATGAAATTCTAGCAATTGTCAGGGGGCTGATTCAAGTAGAAAATCATTTCTGCAGTCAGAGGTGAATACAAAATAAAGTCTAAGACTGAAACCTCAGGAGGTTGTAAACCTCCCACCCTTTTCTTATGAAATCTATTCCTAATTAATTACAAATTTGCTTGACAACCATCTTTCTGATAAAAACATGCAGTTCGACAATTGACCATACAAGCTGCGAGCGATGGGATAAACCTTTATAATTTAAGAAGAATAATGGTTGCTTTAAATAAATTGGACAACATTATGTTTTTTCAAAACATACAGAATCTTATTGACAATACAAATTTAGATTTCAAAAAAATCATGTCAAATGAGCCGGAAAATAAAACTAAATGAGGAAATGAGGACTCATGATATATTGCATAAACATGGATAACAATGAGCAATTTAAGCAAAAAAACAAAAATCCTCCACAGTGGATAAAGGAGGAGAAGAGATTGTTTTGTGAGAAAAAAGAAAAAATGGAGCTGTAGGAGAAATGTTTGTGATTTGTATGACCCAGTTTCATTATCCAAATACACATGTGAAGAAAATCACAATAAAATAAAATCTTGGAAGGAGTTGACTCACAGACTGAGCTCAGCTTGAGAACAGAGAACAAAGGGAAAGGGTGATCTTTCTAATGCTGTATTACTTTGCACAGCCACCAGAGGGAGAACTATGCATAGAATGATGTGATCTGCTGCCTCTCTGTCTAAACATGGGTGGAAATCTTCCTCTCTCTCCTGTACATCACTGTTACGTGTATACAGATGTTTGTGTAGTCATGCATCCTCTTGTTGTCATACCGTGACTGCGGCAGGCCTTTTTTGCTGAGGTCCATCCTCACCCTCTCACCCACATGTTTGTAGATCTCCACCAAGCTGCTCATGGCTGCATCACGCACCTGAGGACCACAACACCACAAAAAATGATTCGATTCTTAACTTTTTTCATTTTCTTTCCAAAGGTCAATTAGGTCTCGACCTTAATCCAACTGTTGGAAGAATGGCTCTGAGTGGCAACACTGTCTTTAGGCTGTACTACTTCATTGTTTTACAAGGAGGAGGCTGATGCCTAGTTGATGTCTGAACAGAGGAAATCTACAACTCACTGAAACACTCCCTGATATACCATTCACAGTGACATGATGCCCTCATGTTTAAGAGTTTGTACTTGTAGAAAACATTACGTTGTGTTGCTTAACATGTCTTTCATTAATCTGACATCATGTCAATCAACTCACCTACCAATCATTATTTATTCATCAAACACCTCTGACAACATTCCAACTAACTACTCTGAGCTCTTTCAATCTAAGAATAAAATATATTTCACATCAGTGGCAAAATATTTAAAGAGAAAACATAATGGGACATACCTGACTTGTGGGGTCCCCCAAAAGATTACATATGTGAGGAACAATTTTACTGAGGGTCAGGCCTTGAGCTCCATATCTGGAAGAGAAAGATGAATATAATTGAGCAAATGGAATGATATACTGTGACATCAGTCAGTTTTAATATCCCTATACATTGTGCTCACATTATTTTGTTGTAGATTTAGTTATAACATTTTGCCATTTCTGTCCATCTATGTGTAATTTCTAACTAGAATTACCGCACTATGGCAGTTCCTGTGTATACATTTCTAAATGCTTTTTTCCAGATTAGTATAAATGTCACTGTGACATAATCACTTTATCTGAGTCCAAGTCAATAAAAAGTAGAAGAAATTCCCTCAAGCAGTCTTGAGATCACATTCATGAGGCCAAAGAAGCCACCGTGACCTTTGACCACTGAAATCTAATCAATTTGTCAGTGAGTCCGAGTGAATTTTGCCAGATGTAAGGAAATTCTCTACAGGCAGTCTTAATATGTCACATTCACAGTAACGTAAGGCCATTCTGACATTGACCTTTGACCTCCAGGCAAGATATTATGATCAAGAAAAAAAATGAACATACTATGTGAAGCCACCGTGACCTTGACCAAGTTGAAATCCATGCTCAAGTGAATGTTTGTGCCAAATGTGACAGATTTCCTTTACAAGGCGAAAAGTTTGCTTTGTGAGGTCACCATGACCTTTGACCACCAAAATCTAATCAGTTCATCCTTGAGTCCAAGTGAATATTAATACCAAAGGACATTCCCTCAAGGCATTATTGAGATATCGCGTTCACAGGAATGGGACAGACAGACAACCTCAAAACATAATGCCTCGAGCCACTGGCATTTGCTGATGCTGGGGCATAAAAATATTCAGACAGTTTGCTGTCAGGAGATGTATCTCATTGACTGGAGTCCACCTCTGACAAACTGAACTGACTGGACTTCGTTTAAAAAGAAACACATTAGTATGTAAAAGAACGTCCCTACAGTGAAGCATTGTGCTGGCAACACTGGATATAGGGGGCTTCTCATATCCTCTTTCCACCAAAGTGAACCGAGCTGGATCAAACTGCAAAGCGTTTAAGATCCAGTTTGCCTTTCCATGGGTTGGAACGGCTGCAGGGCCACATCATTACGTTAGCACATGACTGTCGACGTCTCGACTGTATAACTGAACCCAGAAACTGGCACTTATTGTAATGAATTATATATATCCATTCATTCAGTCATTGAATGTTCGCTCGCTCTCTTCTTTCTCGTGCGCGTTGACAAACACTCCAACTCAGCTGATGTCTCAGGCCCATCAGTGACAGGGGCAGGGGGAGTGGTCAGGATTGAGAAACGATCGGCCAAACAAGAAGAAAATCACAGAGAGCACATAACCTGAAAATTTACTGAAATACATAGTCAAAAATGCACATTCTACCAGGAAGAGTTAGATAAAATGTCCACATCCAGGTGTGCAAAGTTGTAGAGAATTACCCATGACAACCTGAAGCTGTAATTACTGCACAATGGGCTTCTACAAAGACAGAAGATATATTCTCCTTTTCCTCTGCTTTCAGCTCGTCACCTTTGTTAAAATCCTTTTTGTAACTTGATTCAAAAACTACCTCCAAGCTGCAACCTTCACATTGAAAATTACAAGGTTTGGAATCAATTGGTCTCACGTGTTCAGTGTGGCGATGAGGCAAAGGCACACTCCTTCTCTGGTCCTGTTGTTCTTGTGTTTAAAGCCTCCCAGCATTCTGTCCCACACGTACTACAACAACAAACATCAAGAATTTAAAGCCGGCATGATACGAGATTTCTGAGGCTGTATGGTTTTTTTTTGTATATTTGAGGGTCTGATGACAATACACTCACCAGCAGTTATAAATAAACACATTGTCTAGATATGGACCTATTTTATTGAACTTGACAGTCCCTTCTCATTGGTCTAGAACTAACCTGGGATTCTTGTTATGTATCATTTATATTAAGTATTTTATTTTTGTTGTTATGAATTATTGCAGAATTCATAGGTCATGATGTAGTCGGTGGCTGATATGTCTGCCCCACCAACCACAAAGGACTGTATGCTATCCTAACATAATACCACCTCATATTATCATAATACAATTAATGCACTAAAAATAGTTTTAAAAAAACAGCAGCTTATTCCAAAGATTAAATATTAATGACTGAATTACTCTGCTGAGATCATTGATTTAACTCTATAAGCTTTAATTAAATCTAAAAGTTAAATATCAAAAGTTCACATAATAGCTAAATATCTCAAATAAAATAATAATTAAAATGAATGGTATCAATAGGCATTGAGTGATATCTTATCATTTATGTCAGCAGTGATTTCCCAATGTGTGGTGAAATCCCAAACAGTAGTTTGAGAAGGAGTATGTGGTGTACATGTCGGTACCTGTGGGGTGGCAGCTTGCTCCATGATCTTTAGCAGCACTGTTTGGTCTTGGTCTCGCACTTGGTCTTTGGCATCGCCCAGACGATCAATAAGGCTGGGCAGAACTGAGAGAGAGAGATCATCAATAAGTCTCTGTTCAAATCAGTGAACTTAAAAGAGAATGAGACGCAATGAGAACGTAACTGGTGGGCTGAAATTTGGATATTCAAATTTGGAGTAACTACAAATTCCTTTTGGTGCGCAAGAAGAATGTAATCAACATATTTCAGAACTCCAGTAGTCCACAGTTCTTTTAAAAAAATTTGTGCATTTGACTTTATTTTGGAACTTCTTAAACACTGATAATTTATCACTAGATAAATGGAAATGGTGAACAGCTGGAAAAATATCATGTGGCCTGAGATGGTTTACTTGATGGTTTACTGCTAAACTATTTTGGTGCTGTGACTAACTTTTGGAAATCGGGTCATCTTTTTCTTTTTATACTCTTTTATATTAACCATGTGTGCCACAACGTTTTCTTGCCACTGTAATGTGTTCTGTTTCTTTGTTTCAGGACCCGAATCACTGTGACTATGAAAGATAAAAAGGAACTATTGTTAAGGTGATAATTGAAGGTTGCATAAATATAAAGGCTTCAGGAGGCCCTGATCAGAAACCTGAGGCAAGAGGATCCATTAAGAGAATAATGTGAAGGAGCAGATATGGTAGATAAAACACACATACCACAAATTCAGGAAAAAGAAAGAATCTTACCTGTTCCCACCTGGGCCTTGAATCGCTCCTGTAACCTTGTCACTAAGGCAGATAAGAGGTCCAAGCCAAGCAGAGCCACCTAGTGGACACACAATATAAAATTAATTGACATGTAAGTGTAATATTAAGATAACATTTATTCAAATGAAACAATAGAAATCTTAATAATTCTTGGATATAGTTGAAAATCAAAGGAATAATAGTTGCATTTAAAGGTGCATTCAAAGCTTAAAGGATTATGGGTAATATCAGTATTTTTAAGATTCTTTTGTAAAAGAATGGAATTTGCCATCTATAACCTTTACACAATCAATTATAACAAGCGGTAAAATAAATGCATTTTCACTGCTGCACCATCTCGTAAACCCTCTGCCCACACATTAATGTATAGAAGCAGTATCTTGCTCTATAAACGTCAGGTTCGTATAGCCCTGCTGACAACATAACAACCCTCACACCACCTGGACTTCAACGTTTCAATGTGCAATTTATTGAAACTCAGACAATGTTAGTGAAAATGAATTGGTTAATAAATAAGGCAGGATATATTTGCTGCTACTTGGTGGCATCCCAATATTACAACAAGGGGACAAAGGCATATTGCTGCATAATCAATATTTTTTTATACCTCAGGTGACAAGTTGTATCAACATTCAAAGACAGCTGAACCTTTCTACTGAGGAGTCTACTGACATCTACTCATTGTGCATTTTTTTTGCTGGTGCCCACTGGGTGAACAGGAGTGTTGAGGGCCTGGTCTGTTACAGTCCTAATCCTCAGATCAGTCCCTTTGTTCTCCAACTGGAGGGAATTACAGTAATTAGACTGATGACAGGGTCCAAACAGAGAGTGGCTGAGAGCTCTGAGAGGGATCAGTGCTTTTTTAACAATGGTGTAAACACGCAGGTCTCAGATCTACACTCTTGTTGGGTAAAGTCCATGTAGGTCTGTCTCAGCTTTCTGAGTTTGACAACTGGACGTGATCCCTCGTTTTCTTGTTCTCATTCTGAATCAGAGAGGTTGAGTCACAAAGGGGCTACGACAACAACTGAACCCTGTGGTTGAGGGTGAGTTCAGCAAAAGACAGAAAAAAATGCAACCCAGTCCAGTTTAGTATAGGGTCCTCTTCTTTGTAGACAGATGGCCAACTTCATTTTGCTGTCACCCACATTTGGATCACAAAAAGGCCACACACAGGACCCCCCCCCCCCCTGTACAGCTCTGGATGGCGATGGCAAATCCAAGAGACAATTCCTAAATCCCAATTCCTAAATCCTCCTGCCCGACATGCTTGGGACTCATCTCTACTCCCCCTCCTGACTAGAATATGTTTGCTTGAGCACAACTCTGTCTGAGCAGATACTGACTATTAAATGGATCAATTCAACTTTACCCTTTCAAATATTAGTCAACTCTGTGGCCTATTTTGCAGTGAAACTGGTTTAACACATGGTATATGACAAATACAGGACAGTACACAAAAGGTTGCATGAAAAAACATAAAGATTTGTCCTATTCCTTGCAGTCTCTTCTTAAGCATATTTGTGTTCTAGCACAGAAATCTACCAATCCAAAGTGTGAAGCTTTCCATGAGCAGACCTTTTAAAACCTGTGTAGCCTGGGAACTGGCTTCTTCAATGCAATTTTACTGTTTTCCAAACAAACCAGAAAAATTTGGGGAAAAGGGTAATGGTGTGACAGACTCATTTTTATGAGGAGCAGTAAATAAGTAGTATACAAATTTGATAAGCTATGGGGAAACTGGTGCAAACTCTTTCAAGCATCATATTAACAAGGTGCTAACAATGTGTTAACACACTGATAACATGTCAACATGCTGTTTACATGTTGTTCACAAAAAGATTCTTTAAATTCTTTGGCCTTCCATAGTCAGGATTTTCATTTAAAGGCTACTGGGACAGAAAAAGGCTCATAAAATACAATCATGGAGGCAGCTGTAGTGGTGGATTGAAATGTTTATCAGACTGCACAGCAGTTAACAAAACTCCCAGACAGTCTCTGGAAAGTTATCATGACAGCAGCTATTTTCTTACATATTATCTTTCGCTGTGATAATGATGAACAAACACACGCTTGTTTTGGCAGCATGCCAGAATCATGCAAATATGAAAGTGAAATAAGATCTGGTAAATGTTCAGAACTTGGACTAGTGGCTTATAATGTTTCCTACCCTTAAACATGGCCAATAACAATTAATAATCATTCCAATCATTGTCTCAGTGGCCAGCAGACAAATAGGCCCATATTCCAGTTCTGCATACAGCAACTATAGAAATCCAACATAGGCAAACATTCTGTTGTTTTACATTAAAAGAACTTGCGGAGGGAATTCTTATTCCAAATGTCCGTGACCAACCTCTGATAAAACAACATCACAAAATCACTTAAAAACATTGGTCTGTTGCTGACACCTGCTCTAAAACCAGCAGACCCCAGCCTCCATCTGCCTCTGACGTGAATAAGCCTTTAAATTAAATCAAGGACTTCTCCCTTGTTTCTTCCCTCACTACCAAGCCTGTCATCTCATTACCAGTGGAAACACTAGACACACACACACACAGGCACACACACAGAGAGAGACAGACTATTCAAGATGTACAAAGAGAAAGGCAAGCTCACACAGGAAAATATTACTATCAATGATTCCTTCTAAATGAAGAAAACACCTCAGTATGTTGTCCATTTTGTACAGGGAGTGGAGCTGCACATAGACGCACACAACACTCTCAATAAAAATGATGCTAGTTATAAGACAAAACTGTTTACATACATAAACTCAAATACAAATATCAAAATTTGCTGAACAATTCAAACTGCAAGACTCTCAAATGAGTCCATGACACAGAAACACCAAAGCTGTAGTTCATTACAAAGTGCCTTGTAATTATGCAGCAAACCTGGCTATTCATCCCTGCCCCTGTTACATAACAACAGGATTCTCAGACATTTCCATAAAACCAGGGCTTTGTCTGGACCAGGTTTATTGTCAAGTGCAACTCAAATTACACTAAGAGCTGTTCTGTAGCTCACAAGACAATATTTCAGTCTGCATTCTGTTTGTTGTTGTACTGAAGAAACAGGACCAAATAATCCTTTAGTCCTTACTCACAGGTGCTGACATCTGCAGGTATGGTTTTACTAAAAATTACTCATCTAGCCTGCAAAGTGACAGAAGGCGTGCACTTTTTCAAGGTGAATGTCTGCTGGCAGCATTTTTTCCAAGCCACTGAACAAGATGAGGCATGTCTGTTTGTGGTGATTGGCTACAATGCTAATAATTCAGGAATTGTCAGGGAAATGATAGAATGGCAAATGGTTTATGTACATACAGCTTAAACTAGAAAGGTCAATAGAAACCCTCACTATGCCAGAGCCAACAATAACACACATCTGTCTGACTCTAATGAGAGGGAAGTAAAACTAGTCTGATAATGTGAACAAGCTGAAAACATTCATAGATTTCAACACCATATCCAGAAATGTAGCAGTATTAAGGAGAGTGAAATATCCTGGATCCACACGACAATGTAATGGGTTCTCCTTCATGGCCCCATCCACAACCAAGTTTGGTGCAAATCCAATCAGTACTTTCTGCATCTGACAAATCGACAACTATACAAGACACAACACACTGATGGCCATAACATAATGTCCTTGGTAGAGGTAATTTGAGAGCCTGTGTGCTAATAATATCTCTGCCTTGTTAAATGGATTGACATGCTGGGAGATAAAGCACAAACAGTGGAAAGGATTCATGAATCCAATAAATATCACTGACTTGTGACTTCCTGGAAAGTACTGAACCATAATTTATGAAATTTGTTTCACTGGTGCTTTTCATGCAAAACACACATGAAAATGTCCACTGTGTTAAGTACCTCACTTTTACCTCACTCTCCCCAGCCTCCATCCTCTTGTCCCACCAACATCTGCCACAATCAGAAGCAGTGCATGTCCACTAGTAAGTGTACGTTTTCATTAGTGTTTAACAGCAAACACGGACTGAGGGGCTTTGGCGTGCAACAACAATTACTGAAACCCTCATACATGAGTGTTTTTACAGAGTTAGGGATTATGTATCGTAATTTCAGACCTAACCTGTTTGGTTGGGTTAAAACAAACTTGAATTTAATTTGCCGGGATGATTAATTTTGGGTGGTGTTAAAGCTGCCAATTTAAAGTTGGTGCACACACCAAACAGAGGGAAAGTGAAAAGGTTTCAAGTGTTTCAAAGCAGAGAATACTGCTAATTCTTTTACAATTTTATAAACCAACCAACTTAATTATTTTCTTATAGAGAATGATGTTTGGAGAAGAAATGCCTCCAGAAGTGAAGTCTAATGTAACCTTGAACAGATACGTTTTCCTACAGCGTTTCATGTAATGCCTCCAAAGTAGATGTTCATACCTCATGATTTTTTTAACCAAATGTAAATTGTGTAATGATACGAAAAAATCAATCAGTGCAGTGAAATTTCTCTAGCAATGCTATTATTCCATAGATGAACATTGCGTAAGCACAGCCTTATACAGAAAGGGCTGGGCACCTCCAAACAATTTCTAACATGCACTAGACCCCCTAACAGTAATGGGATGAGTTATTACAATGTTATGCCAAGAAAGACAGCAGCAGCAGTGTTATCATATTCCTGAGGTGCGATTAGCCAGCAGTGACCACACAGTGACTCAGCTTTATTCAGCAGAGCTCAGGCAGAGCCCTGGCTTGCAACGCAATGATGGAATGTACAGCAAACCCTCGTTATGGAAAAGACCCAACAGCACAAACACACAGTACACAGAGACAGATACAGGGATGAATATAGCACCAGCTGAGAGACACACACACAAGCACGTCTTTTACAGTTCACTTCCTCCAGAGACGATGCTGCAGTGAAAACAGGAATATTATCCTCCAGACATAATGCAACTGATACTAATATCTCCCTCTCTCTCCCCCTCCTTCCTTCCTTCCATTCATGTTCAGATACATTTCATTTGTGTATTCTTAAGCTTCATTAGCATGAATGTTAGGGCATCACTGAATAGCTACATGATAAT